AAATTATTTTTGAAATTTAATGTTGAGTTAACTGTCAATGTTTATAAAGGAAGTTTTTTTAGTGAAAATTTTATGATGTATGTTGTCGAAAACAATAAAAACTAATTATTTTTAACTATAGTGATGTTCCGCACATGCCACCAGTTATGACCATAAAAAAAAAATAACTATTGGATTACTTCACGCTACAAATTATAGATATGTCTCAATTTACTTTCAATAAAATTTGTCTAACTAACTTTTGTCCAATTAACTTTTGTATACGTTACCACCTGCCGTATTATTGCATCATTGTGTTACCTTACTTTTGTAGTTGAAAAAACAAAGAAAGAAAGAATATTTTATACATGCAAATTTTATACATTTACAGGGCGGACTTTTTAAACAATATTAAATACAAGGCGAACAATGATTAACAATCGATCGCAATATTCCTCGTACGGTCATAATAGAGGTTAATAAGAAAAATCTTTATGAATAGTTCCTCCAATGATCTGAATCGGAGTAGAGGCTACTTCGATTATTGGAATTGTGTCTATGCAAGCCGGTCGGCGCAGTAGTCTTACGCGTGAAAAGCATCACTGTTACTCCGTTTCAGCGCATTATCCACTTCTAGAGGTGGGCCCCACTCCTCCTCAGCTCCCCTGAAAATATACTCATTTATAGAATATTTTACCATCTGAAATGTTAAAAAATATATGTCATTTAGTACCCAAGTCATACCTCGTTTTTAGAGTTTTTCAAGTCACTGATCATACGTCCCCCTCTGTCTATTCTCTCCCCCTTACTCACTATATGTCTCTAAAGGACCATTATTTAGAATCTCTTTCTGGTCCATGTATACTTTACCCAAATATAAAATTCTTGATTAACTTAGGACTTTATTTACAAAAAAAAAAAAAAAGAATTCAAGAGATGGTATAGTTGATTAGACAAACACAATTAGGCTTTTGGAACAATAATTCATTCTGTCAATTAAATTTTGTGACATTGTATGTGTCGTTTTAATCCATCTGTTCTTTTAAAACCTTTTCCACATTTTTTACATATCATTTTTTCATGGTTTTTATGAATTAACATATGTCTGTTTAAATGTGACGATCTTTGAAGTTACATATTTTTGAACTACTGAAAAATTTCTTGCTAAACAATATTTTTAATTTCTGATTTATTCTCGGATTTAATTTGAATAACAATTTTTTTTGGATTCTTACATCTTAATAAAGCAACGTATGATTGTCCGTAAGAGAATAAAGGTTTTTTAATATACAATCCTATGGAATCATAACTCTGTCCTTGTGATTCGTTGATAAACATAGAAAATGCTAATACAAAGGAAAACTGTTTTCTATAGAAGACAAAAGGTAATGATGATGAGGTGCCAGTATTCAATGTTATTCTAGGAATATAAACTTTGCTTCCTTCTTTTTCTCCCGTTATTATTTCTGCTTCTATATTATACTTGAATAATTTTGTTATTTTTGATCTTGTGCCATTACAAAGACCGTCTGATATACTTAAATTTCTTATTAACATTACTATAGCATTTATTTTTAATTTTAATTCGTGTGGTGGAAGACCTTCTCTGATATTATTTAAAAATTCTATAGGAAAATTAATATTTATTTTATCATCTGTTTTATCAACTCCTTTGTGAGTCACGTATTCTGCTATTGTGAACTCATTCTCAGTCTGCATTAATAATTACACGAGTAATGTTGTTATTTTGTCTGCTTAATCTGTTAGTGTGGGGTTGGCGCGCGGAGCGCACAGGGGGCGTTAGACCCAACAGTATATATGTAGCAACTCAGCAATGTGTGCAAGCTGCACACTCAAGGCACAAGCAGCTACTGACTCCTCGTGTCTCCTTCTAACTGCAAAGCAACATAAGCCAAGCCAACCCTACCGTTCGTCGCCTCAGCTGCGGGAGAACAAAAAAAACAGAGCAACAACGGCGCCGAGTTCACGCATTTTACTTTATCGTTCCTTCAAGCCTGCGCCGTCACCTGAGACGGACGTTACGCTTTTTGTATTTGTTTATTAAAATTAAAGTTTTGTTAACCGTTGTCAAAAGTTTCCTTTCTCGACCCAGTGCTCCTCCTTCCATACCTGGACACGGAGGCACCTTGTTACTACCAGAGCCTCACCTTCGCTTCTTTCTCCATAGTGGTGACCCCGAGTAAGTGAAATTAGGGGAAAAAGTTAAGTGAGTGCGCGAACAGTGTACAAGAAGGCTCAACACGAGGCAGACACATGTTGTCGAAAAAGACGGCCATCTTGGGCCTGTCATGAACGACGCACCTCTTTCAAAAGGACGCGGCCGTCCAAGTACTAGTGGGGACACACAAATGAGAACCTCGCTGCGACTTCAAGGTATTCCCGGTACTTCCTTCGAGGATAGTGCTGCAATTTCCAACGCCACGCGTTAGCTCAACAAGGCAGCAACCACCCCTGCTGTCGGCAAGCCACCGACATTTTTGCCTTCGCTCTCGCTGCCTGAGGCAATAGGACCCCCGCCTTCCAAAAACTACAAACCGCCGCCGCCCGCACCTAACATCTCGCACGGCAGTAACTCGTCCTCCGATTACGACGACACGAACGACGAGTCAAAAACGCGCCCAAGCAACAACACAACGCCAGAAGAAAGCATGTCAACAAAATGCGACCTGCCGCGTTGTTGGCGTAATGCTCCAAGGCCATGGTTCACACAGGAAGAGTGTTTGATGGCTTCAAGCAACGTCACAGACGACAACGCAAAATTCAATCTTCTTGTTGGCGCGCTTGACCAGATGACAGCCACGGAGGTTATGGACATTATTGACCCTCCGCTGGCCGATCAGAAGTACAAGACACTCAAAGACGCCATTTTATCACGCACCACGGACTCTGCTGAAAAGATGCTCCGGCAATTACTCTCAGGTATTCTCTTGGCGATTACAAACCTTCAGCACTTTGGCGAAAAATGAAAAACCTCACGGGTAGTAAAGTAACCGACGAGGTCCTAAAAGTCAAGTGGCTAGACTCGCTCCCTCAAGCCGCCACCATGCTTTTGAGCATCCTCAAGACAGCATCAATGGATGAACTTGCTGAGGCATCTGACAAGCTCGTGGAAACTGGAAGCACTGTCATGGCTATCTCCAAGGCATCTTACATCCCGCCAACCACCACCACCTCAGATCTGCTTCAAGAAATTGCGGCGCTTAGAGCAGCTATTGCTCAGCTGACAATTCAACAAGCTCATGCACCACGTGCCTCAGGCCAACAGCGGGGACGTAACCGTGATCGCTCGACATCTGGCAATTGTCGAGGCCACTCAGCCATCCCCTGCCATCCCAGGTGTTTGCTGGTATCAACGGAGGTTTGGTGCCAAAGCAGAGCACTGCACTACTCCGTGCAACTTCATCCCTCCAGCACAGGGAAACCAATAGACCCGCCTTTGGTCCAGGCGACAGAGGCCCAAACGGGTTCCAACACACGCCTGCAGATGTTCGATTCTCGCTTACGTATACATTTTTTAGTTGACTCTGGCTCCTCGGTATCTCTACTGCCCAAAGCCCTGTCAAGGCGAATAGAACTTCGGCAGCCTCTGGTGGTATTTGCTGCCAACCACGCCCTCATCTCGACGTATGGCAAAATGCATCTCACTCTCAATTTTGGCCTAAAAAGAGACCTACAAGGCGACTTTATCTTGGCTGACGTCTCCACTGCAATTTTAGGCGCCGATTTTCTGGCTCAACATGGTCTCCTGCTTGACTGCAAAAAAAGAAAACTCGTCGACCCATGCACCAGCCTGGCTGCCAACTGCTCCGTCAGAAAAGCAGAACTCTGCTCAGTCTCCGCACTCGAAGCACCAACGGGTGACTCCTTGATCCAGCGCTACTCAGCCCTACTTGAAGAATCCGCCGATCTCTTCGAAGCTTCAAGCAGTCCAGCACAGATTCCTAATCTGCCCGTGAAACACACCATCGTCACTACCGGTCCACCAGTGGCCGAACGTCCCAGAAGACTAGCAGGTGATCGCCTGGCAGCAGCCCAAAAAGTTTTTTACGAACTGTTGAACAAGGGCATTATTCGTCCTTCAAATAGCCAATGGGCTAGCCTGCTCCACCTTGTGCCCAAAAAGGGTAGCTCATTCCGGGTAATAGGTGACTACCGCAGACTTAACTCTCAAACAATACCAGACATGTACCCGCTGCCCATTATACATGACTTGCTACAGGAGAGCCCAGGTAAAGTTTTTTCAACGGTCGACCTGCAAAAAGCCTTTTATCAGATACCAGTAGCTGAGGCCGACGTTGAAAAAACGACAGTGACAACGCCTTTTGGCTTATTTGAGTTTCTGGGCACCTCATTAGGCCTGCGAAACTCAGCCCAGTCGATGCAAAGGACGATCGACCATATTCTGCGCAAGCTGCCATATGCCAAGGCCTATATTGATGATATTTTCGTCGCTTTTTTTTCACACGAGGAACATCTAAACCACCTTCGGCAACTTTTCACAGCTCTTAGAGAAGCCCAGCTCAAGATCAAGCGACAAAAGTGCACCTTTGGAAATCCGCAAGTACTCTACCTAGGTTTTCAGGTCTCTGAAGACGGCATACAACCTCCAGAGACCAAGATCACTGCAATAAAGAACTTTCCTAAGCCAACCGATGATTCAGAGATCCGCCGGTTTCTAGGAATGCTTAACTACTACAGGCCATGCATTCCACACGCTGCCGACAAACAAGCACCACTCCATGAATTGCTCAAAGGCCGAACTAAAAAAAAAGAAGCTTCCTTGGACCACCACAGCAGAACAAGCCTTTCAATCGTGCAAGGACTTAATCATCGAAGCGACTTGCACCACCTTTCTGCGTCCAGGTGCGCCACTAGCCCTAAGGACCGATTCAGTACGTTCACGGACCACCGCCCACTGATTTTTGCGCACCATCAACGCTCCGACAAAGCCACACCGAGACAAGTTCGCTGCCTCGAAGTCATCATTTAACACAGTGTTAATGCACGCCCGAGGCAAGGACAACTTTGTTGCAGATGCACTGTCTCGAGCATGTTTGCCCGAAAACGACCTTCCGCAACCCTCTGCCGTGTTCAGCTCTGACTCTGAGACCAAAATCAGCAACAACACAGGCCCTCAGCCAATTACTGTCACCGCATCAATCTCGATGCCTTGCCACTTGAGTCCAGAGATAATCGCAGCAGCACAAGCCACCGACACCGAACTACCAGGTCTTCTAGAAGACTCCATTCTACAACTGCAACAGCTTGTCATAGATGGACACTCCCTCTGGTGAGATGTATCCCATAACATTGTCTGGCCCTACTTGCCAACAGAACTTCGTCGCACGGCTTTTGAGGTTATACATAACTTATCGCACCCCGGAGTCAAGATCACTGCCCGTACCGTCGCACAAAAATACGTTTGGCCAGGCATTCGCAAGGACGTCTCTGCTTGGAATGCAGAATTGTCTTACGATCATGGATGGATTCTCGCGTTGGCCTATGGCGATCCCACTGCCCAACACTCAGGCAAACACCGTAGCAAAAGCCTTAAACCTCTGGATCAGCGCCCATGGACTCCAATCTTTATCACCTCAGACAGAGGAGCACAATTTGAGTCCGCACTCTTTCAAGAACTGACCAGGATAATCGGCGCCACGCACGTCAAAACCACCGCATACTACCCTCAATTGAACGGCATGATCGAGTGCCTCCACCGGACTCTCAAGGCCGTGCTCAAGTGCTCCACGCTGCCTTGGGTCAATGAGCTGCATTCGGTACTTCTTGGCTTAAGGACGACTTACAAAGAAGACCTAAAGGCCTCTCCAGCAGAGATGGTCTACGGCACTTCACTCCGGGTCTCAGGAGAATTTTTCACGACGACTACTTCAAAGGCAGACAGCTCAACGTTCGTAAAAGGTTTACGACAACTTTTCAAGTCCCTCAAAGCAGTCGCAGCAGCACACCATTCGCCCGCACAACCTTTTGTTTTCAAGGATCATAACAAATGCTCGCACGTTTTCAAACGAGATGACAAAATCAAGAAACCACTGGAGCAGCCGTATACAGGCCCCCATCGTGTCATCAATCGCAACGATTCAAGAACGTTCACAGTTGAAGTCGACGGGGAAGCCAAAGTCGTCTCTACAGACCAATTGAAACCAGCCCACTAAGAGCTGGCAGAGCCACCCTGTACTGTTGAAGACACTCTACCTCACTCGGTCTCATCCGAGCCCATGGACCCGCCGCCCGTGCCTTCAAGCAACCCAAAACAGCTAGGGCGATCCGTATCGTTCGCAGACTCCCCGAAGCTTCTCACTGGAAGGGGAGTGGATGTGGTAACTCAGCAATGTGCAAGCTGCACACTTAAGGTGCAAGCAGCTGCTGACACCTCGTGTCTCCTTCTAACTGCAAAGCAGCATAAGCCGAGCCAACCCTACTATTCGTCGCCTCAGCTGCGGGAAAAGAAAAGAGATAGAGCAAGCAGCAGCGGCGCCGAGTTCACGCGTTTTACTTTATCATTCCTTCTAGCCTGCGCCGTTGCCTGAGATGGACATTACGCCTTTTGTACTTGTTCATTAAAATTAAAGTTTTGTTAACCGTTGTCGAAAGTTTCCTTTCTCGACCCAGTGCTCCTACTCCCGTACCTGGACACGAAGGCACCTTGTTACTATCAGAGCCTTACCCTCACTTCGTTCCCCATATATGTATATATTATAATTAATTTTAACAATATACTTTTGTCGAATTACACAATTTTTGAAGTAAAACTTTTCATGTTGGGCTGTAAACAGCCACGTGAGGGGAAATGCGTTTCAAAAAAACGTAGCCATCTACGTTGCAGCCCAAGCCCTCTCCTCAATCTTCTCTTTTATTTACTTTTTTATACACTTCCTCCCGCTTCGTCTCTTTCTTTTGCAGGGCACGCCACTCTACTGTCTACCGTTTCGTCTCTCTTCTCTCGCATGTACGCCGCTTGCTCCCTTCCCCTCACACTGGTACTATACCTATATATGTATACATATATTATAGCTATGTTAGTATGTATATGTTTCTAAGTTAACACTAATTCACATGGTGGCGCAGCGGTAGAATTGCAGTCTCGTCGATCTGGAAAGTTAAGCAGAGCTGACCGCGGTTAGTAGTCAGACAAGTGACCGCTCGACTATTATTCAGTTCGCTTGCGCTGGTGATTTTTCAGATCAATTGACTGTCTCTTTATCGTTACGATAACGTGAGCGGGAGGTATGCAGAAGTTCAGGCCTAATGTCTGTAGACAATATAGACCTTTAATTAGAACTTAAGCAATACACCGGCCGTTCCGGGATGGGTTTTTCCCAAGTGGTTTCCCCACCCACAGGACTGATTATCCCGGTGAATGCGGAACAGAATCTCCTACACCTTTACCATCCCCATCCCTCCCCAGTCTCATAGTGCCGAGTGCCCAGAGAAGGACGTAGGACGCTATAATATATAAAAAAAAAAAAAAAAAAAAAAAAAAAAAAAAAAAAAAAAAAAAAAAANAAGAAAAAAAAAAAAAAAAAAAAGTTAACACCAAACTGATGCACTTACTCAAGCTGAGGTATAGGTACGGAGAAAAGAGAAAAGAAGAGAAAAACAACAGCTGTACCTGTACTAAAGGCAAAGTATACGTATGTATTTCGTATACACATGTACGTGTTGCATGTCCCGGTCATTACATATATGTTTATACGTATACATGTATGTAAAAAACGTGCATAAAGTATGAAATATGTATAATACGATATCTGACCTTTGAAAACAATAAAATAGCTATATGTATATTGGTTTCTTTAATCTCAGATAGAGTGGATTATTTTATTTTTACGGTAGCCAAAATTAGAATAAAAAAAAATTTATTTATCGGATTCAATGATTTAAACAAGAATCGATTGTACATAGATGATGTCATAATAAATACATGAATAGTAATTTTAAATAAAAGGAATTTTTGTCCCACGTAACTGGACAAATGTACCTTTTTTCGGGGCACTATGGTGAAAATTTTCGTTTCGTTCTGCATTACATGACGCACAATTTGTACATATATCAATACATATATCATAGCAAACATGGAAGTACTTATAATTCGTGAATCACATGTAACAAAAAGTATATGTATTTCATGCACGCGCGTACTCGAATACATAATAATATTTTTACTATTTTAATATCAGATTCTTAAAGACCTATTGAAATTAGGTGTGATCTAATTTTCTCACTTTCTGTTATACTTACTAAGTTTAATGATAATGATTTGGAAGTTTTACTTCTGTCGGGAGTCCCGCGACCCACATCTGGTTTTTTTTCAATTATAAATATAACATAGAATTCAGCAAAATATACCAATAATAACAACAAATGAAAAAAGAACGAAAATAATGATGGCAATAATCGTGAGTGGAAAATTGTACAATGGAACGCTAGAAGTTTGAGAAACAAGCTCATCATACACGAACACGCACAAGAAAACGATGTTGTTATTATCATAAAAACATGGCTTGAAGCAAAATATTATCGTCACATTAAAAATTTTATCCCAGCTTCTTTTGACAGAGAAACTAATGAGGGAAGAGGAGAAATCACAACATTCGGGAAGAATAAGCTGGTGTACAACGTGTGCGACTGAAATCTAGAATTATCCAGCATGCAATTCGAAGCGATCACCGTTAGCACTGTCAGGGTTGAGTTGTGCATAGTAGCATGCTGCAGGTCACCATCGGGAAATAATTTTACTGGGAAAGAATTAGAAACAATTAAATTAGAAATTAACAAACACGACAAATTTTTGTTATTGGAAGACTTTACTAGTCACCACTTTTATTGGGGAAGTAAGAATTTTTTTTGTAACAGCGCGATCGTGATGGTAATTTTAGAAAGTGAAGAATTTTTTTTCTGGAGAAACCCTAACTATACTCCTTTTTATCATGATTAAAACGACCCTAGTATCATAAAATACTCATATATTGACATTACCTTTGCATCCCCAAATATAGCAATGGGATCAAAATGGAACGTATTGGACAACCCATGGGGCAGAGACCATTTCCCCGTAACAATTGAATTAAAAGTAGATAAAAAAAAAGTATATAAAGGAAACCACCTCTATAACGTTAAATACATTGACTGAAAAATTAAGGTTTATAAAGAAAAAGTACACGGGATGTGGTTAAAGCCTTGTCGGACAGTAAAAATTTTTGGCCCGATTCTGGGTAATAAATTGAGCTGGCTCCTTCATTTTAAATGTCAAATACGAGTGTACCTTTCCGATAATGATTCTTAAAAGCCTCCGAGAGGTTAAGTGGGGAATCGATCCAATCATTCTCCTCTCGCTCTACACAGCGATGATAAGATCAAGGATAGAGTATGATGCTTTATCAATGCCCTCTGCAAAGAGTATCACCAAGACATTTTGCAAATTATTCAAAACAACTCTATTAGATTAGCTTAAGAATTTTAAACGACAACACCCATTAATGTAGTAGTAGCTGAATCAAAAACCACACTTACATTCACTTCTTTATCAACGCAACCATCAATCTGGACCAGGTACGCCTACCTTGGCCTTTTCTCGACGCTGCTGACTTTACATACACACACACACACACCTAGGCTCGACCGATAGAGCCACTGAGTCTGATCCCTGTCACGGACAGTAATGTCGCAAATCCTTTGCTTAATACGTGCCCCAACGTTCGTTTACGATTTACCCCACGCCTGCACCAGTAATATCTATCTCTCATTGTTCATCAACTATTCTCGACCTCTACCCTTACTCAAATATTCACGTTATAGTTCCCTATCTTACTCTTACAGTCATGTCCCTTTCTCTCGTTTACACAAGCCACCCAATACTTTAGTCCCCAAGTCCCGACGGAGGCCTGACCAGCACGTGCAATCACCTCCCTGTATCTCTATCTCTCGGCACTTGCTCTTGCTCTTCTCGGCATCCTTACCTGCCCTCACAACTCAGGACCGTTCACGTTGAGTAAAACCAACGCCACGTCCCCTCTTAACTTGTGCGCTTTACCTTCTTGCCTTATCTAGCGCTTGCCTCGACGGTAGGTGGGCCTGGTGCAGACGCCGTGAGCTTTAGATCAGGGGGTAGATGCCTTGTAGTCTTTCAACCTCTCTCGTCTGCTGCACACCCAACGTTACGTTTTAAGCTCTGTTTGGTGCCGTCGAAGGACGTCTCACCTGTTGACCGGCCGCTGCTGAGGGTCAGGTAGACCAGAGTCAGTCTTATTTATCCTGCATGTCTCTCTTTCTCTCTTACTCGGAATCCAACATCGAAAAATACGCTCATTACAGGAATCCCGTGATGCCCTCTCTCCACGTTAAACGGCTCTCGACAGCTAAGCTTCTGTACTACTTTCTCTCTCTTTCTCTCTCCAATTACGTACCTCTCACGAGCTCCCCTCCGATCGTTCACATCAGTCTCCTCTCGCCCTTCAGTCAGTTACCTCCTGAACTTCGAACCACTAATCTGGTCCCTACCTTATCTGTCAGTACCTCTCATACGTGTCAACGCCTCGAGACTTACATTTTATTTCATTCATTCGTATGCTCTAGTCATCTCACGTATGTATTTCTTATCTTTCTCTCTTGGTCACTGCTAAAACACAATACAGGGGTTTTGGTTATAAGTAGATCATGTTAAGCACACCTATTGGTTTCAGAGCAAGTGCGTCGATAGTGATGTACAAAATTGCGAAGCAAATTTTGCCATCTCACAACTTAAAATAAAAAAATCTGCCTGTTTTCCTTTAACGTTTGAAGAGATTTTTAATACTGACAAGGCCTCTTTAATCAACATATATACAGAAGGATCCAAACTAGACATAACAGAGATAAGTGCAGTAGGATATGCTATATAGTCAGAAACAGATAATACGTTCATACAAGCGTTGAGACTCCCATACGGAGGGAAAAATCATGGAGCAAACGTATAGCGACGATGGAAATGCTCCCCCTTTTTTGAACCTATGTAATTGGCTCATGACGTGTGTGCTTTCAACGCATGAAAGCTATAGCCCACAAGCATAAGTGCTAACCACAAAGCAAACGCTTGAAGGAACTGACTTTTTTCTATCGTGCCTATGCGTTTTCGGGAGAGAGGAGATACCGTCCTATAGCAGTCAGTATAGGTACG